GATACGGAGGTTGGTGCTTCTCGACAGATTTCCAATAATGATGATGCTGGTGATGATAGCAGCTTGGACAGCGACGAGGAGGGGTAGGAGTGCTAGTTGGAACGGGTCTGAATTTCCTCTTGAAGTTATCAATATTTCAAGTTAAAAAAATGAGAGTGAATACGTCATGATACTCAGACGATATTATGCAGTGTGGAAAAATATGCAAATGGTCAACTACATGTGAAGATGAAATTTGTGGAAATTCTGAGGAAAACTAGCGGAATTCGTATATATAAACTCCTATAATTAGGGAGGGAGCTCCTGAGCTCAGCTGAGGAGGGCGAAGATATATTCCTGAGGGAAGTATTGAGGAAGTGATGATTGTCAGGTCACCGAGTCGGAGGAAGCAGGCAAAGAAGAATAGTGACAGTCCGCAACCGGGGCCTTCCCTATACGGCAGAGGACGGTCTATTAGTGTTGGAGGTTCCCCTGTGGCGGCGAATAATAAATTATTACGTAGGAAGTGGCGAGATTGTGGTATGAATTTTCACGGAATAGTTTTTGCATTGATTTAATTTTTTATCGAGGCTGATGAATGCTCGGTTGTTCATCCGAGCGGTTTGCTCAGTTGCTGTTAGGAATTGTTGAAGGGGCCGTGGTAAAATTTGCATATGGTGAGCCGCATACGTCGGTGACAATAAGGACATTGTGAGGAAATTGTGCGGAATTTCTGTATACTTCTAATCCAGTTCATATATTAGCTCTTATGATTAGTGCGGAAACTCTCTGAGGAAATTGAAAAAGGAGTGGTATGGTTGTAGATATTAGGTACGGAGGCTAACGCGGCTCTGACCATGCCGACGCCTAGGGACGAGAACGATGATGATGAGCATTTGGGAAGGCAGAGGAAGAAGAGCGGACTGCATAGACAGGATAGTCTTCTGGGATCTTCGTCACAACGGGTGGGGGTTGGTCATGTTTTGGGCATGATTTGTATCTTACTCGCATGAACCTTAGATACAGTTTTTGCGTAGCTGTAGTTGGTGGTCTATGGGTTTGCCTACAGAGAATTCGATATATCAGGCTTATGTGAATACCATTACGGAGGCTCAACGGTGAGAAGAGTGGTGGAGTAGAATTGGGCAAAATTACGAATTTCGTCATGGAATGGTACAGAGTATAGGCACGAAACCGTAGCAAGGAACTACGGGGGGATTATGTTGTTTCTGATTCGCAGAGTTGATGACATTTCTCGGCTGCAGAAACTCTAACATCCGCACTGTTGCAGTGTGGGAAAATATGCACATGGGCAACCACATGTGTTCGCTTTCCTCAGCTGAGCTCTGGAGTTTCCTCACTAACTATGAAAGTTTACATACCAATTTTGGTAGAAGTGTAGAAAAGCGAAGAAGAATTCGCCAAAAATTTCTCAGAATTTTCATATTGTCACCAACACATGTCGTTGACCACGCTGCACTGTGGAGTAGGAGAACTCGTTCGAATTCCTTGCTCAAGTGCTGTTGATGGTTTATGTGGAAGCTGTCATTAAAATTTGAGCTCGAAATGTGTTCGTATAGGAATAAGTATATATACTGTACTGTTGTGAAGTTGTGGAGGGTGAACTCGACATAGTAATAAAAATGGAGTTGGTAATATTAGTCTATGCAAGCTTGCAATTACGGAAATTTCTTTCGTATGGATGCGATGGACATCATATTTTGGAGTGGTAGTAGAAGAGGAGATATAGCAATACTTATACACTAGAGTTGTAACCGTTGTACGTGAAGTGAAGTGATACTCTGTGAAAAAGCGCGATATTCGCGGTGAAGTTATTTTGTCCACTAGTGTTTATTTTCATATCACGGGGAAAACTCCAGTGTATAAGATGCGTTGGAGTTCCACCCTAGTGATGTGAAAAAACAACTATTCCACGAGTACTGAATATCACCGCGAATTTCGCGTTTTTCACGGAGTTTTACGCCACTTCACGTAAAACGGATGAAACTTCATTGTTGGAATTCGGGTCGCTGGAGGTATGCGTAGTGGACTGGCGCTGTCGAGGTTGATGGGAGAAGTAAAATTGTGATGAATTCACAGCGAAGGCTTATGTATTATATTGCGTGTTGTGGTATGGCAGATACATTTATATAGAAAATCAGTTCTTCATAACTACCACTGATGCCAAGGACCCCTCGTGTGCGCAGTATGGTTATCCAGTGACAAACGAGATTGGGCGGTAGATGGTATCGTTTTCGGATGGGTGATCGAGGCTGTCGTATTTTCAGGGCGCTCGCTGATCGAGTTCACAGAGCTATTATAGAGAACGATACGAAGTTTAGGGTCTATGTGGTGAGTATTTGGGAATTTTTGACGCTTCGCTCCGCCTGAATCTACGAACATTTCGTTTGAATTGCAAGGGTGATAGTGGTGCTCAGTTATTCGGTGTGAAAATTGTGCGGCGGGTGGTTGGCGTTTTCACTATTTTTTCCCGACTTTTTCCCAATTTTTTCCGATTTTTCTGATTTTTCCGATTTTTTCCGTTTTTTCCGGTTTTTCCGTCTTTCTGAATTTCTTTTCACTTGGTAGATGCTAGGATGGTATGGAGTTGAGGATGTCAGGTATTGCCGTTGTTGCCAGCGTTCGAGGGGGAGAATTTATGGACGGCTGATGCCTTTGTATGTCGAATCACAATTCATTTGCAGATGCGGGTAGGCTTGGAAATGGGGAAATTTATCCGAAAACGCACCGTTTTTCCCCAGTCGATTCATAGTGCTAAAACTTCGATTATTCAAACGTTGAAGAGGAGGCTGATTGCTGACCACAAGCAGAAGCCTTTAGCGGCGTTACAGGGAAAAGATGGTAGGTGCCCCCTTGGGGCCTTTTTGGTCGTCCATCGTGCGCCGTTGGTGTCCTCATTCTGTGGCAGTAATCAACTGTAGCATGTAGAAAGAAAAAATACAGCGGCCACGCCCTATCTGCGG